TGAGATCCGGCCACTGCACTCCAGCCTGGGCGACAGAGCGAGACTCCGTCTCAAAAACAAACAAACAAACAAACAGTTGCTTTCCAGAAATGTTGGCCAGGGGGCAGAAAAAAAAAAAAGAGAGAGAGAGTTAATATTGGTTGTCTCTCAGGAGTAGGATTAGAGGGAATTTGTCACTTTTTATGTTTTATAAATCTATGCATTTTCAAATAACGAGTGTTCCTTTTATAGTTGAAAAAAACCGAACTATTTGAAAGGTGAGTTAATTTATTATCTGATCATCTAGGAGTAAAACTAAGTGAAGAAAGAATTTCCTATTTAAAAGATCTTGAATGCAAATCAGAACCAAATGAGATACCACTTCACACACACTAGAATTACTATAATAAAAAATACCATAAAAGTGTTATTGGTGAGGATGTGGAGAAAATGAAACCCTCCTGTATTGCTGGTGGGAATGTAAAATGGCCCAGTTACTCTGGAAAACAGTTTGGCAGTTTTTGTTTTTGGTTTTTGTTTTTTTTTGGAGACAGAGTTTCCCTCTGTCACCCAGGCTGGAGTGCAGTGGTGTGATCTCGGCTCACTGCAAGCTCCGCCTCCCGGGTTCACGACATTCTCCTGCCTCAGCCTCCCGAGTATCTGGACTACAGGTGCCCACCACCACGCCTGGCTAATTTTTTTGTATTTTTAGTAGACATGGGGTTTCACCGTGTTAGCCAGGATGGTCTCGATCTCCTGACCTTGTAATCCACCTGCCTCGGCCTCCCAAAGTGCTGGGATTACAGGCATAAGCCACCGCGCCTGGCCAGCAGTTTCTTAACATACTTACCATGTGAACAAGCAGTTCAATTTCAAGGTGTAAACTCAAGAGAAATGGAAATGTGTGTTCACACAAAAACATGTTCACACTAGCCTAAAAGTAGAAACAACCCAATGTCCCCTAAGTGATGAATGGATGAACAAGAATGATATATACATGTAATCATATAATGGATTATTCAGTGATAAAAAAGGATAAAGCATTGACACATACTACAACGTGGATGAACCATGAAAACATACTAAGCAAAAGAAGCCAGTCACAAAAAAAACACATATTATATGATGCCACTTAACATATGTCCAGAATAGGCAAATCCATAGAGACAGAAAGTAGCTTAGTGGTTTGCATGCTCTGGGGAATGGGGGAGAGTGGGGACTGACTGCTAATACATATAATAAAATGTTCTGGAACTGGATAGTGGTGATATTTATACACACAATGCATATAATAAGAAACACTGAATTTTCCACTTTAAAAGGATGCATTTTATGGTATGGATTTAGAGCGCCATAAAACCACCACTAGGCAGGGAAATTTCATCCGACAGATTCAAATGCGTACTATCTAAAACATCTATGTTTTTGTTTTCCTTTTTTTTTTGAGACAGGGTCTTGTTCTGCTGCTGAGGTTGTAGTGCAGTGGCACAATCTCGGCTCACTGCAGCCTCTGCCTCCAAATCTCAAGCAATTCTCCTGCCTCAGCTTCCCGAGCAGCTGGGACTACAGGTGCTGACCACCATGCCTGGCTAATTTTTGTATTTTTTGGTAGAGACGAGGTTTTGCCATGTTGCCCAGGCTGGTTTCGAACTCCTGGATGCAAGCGATCTGCCCACCTCCGGCTCCCAAACTGTTGGGATTGCAGGCGTGAGCCACCACACCCAGCCTAAAACGTGTATGAAGAAGTACAGCAAACAACAAGGTTCAATATGTAGATTCCAAATAGTAAGTATTCAGAGGAACTGTACGATTTCCATAGAATGAAGCAAAAAGCAGAAAGTCACATGGAAAAATTCACAGCCTCCTTAACAGGTAATGAAATAAAACAGAAGTAAGGCCTCATTACATCCCTATTAAATTAGCAAAAAAAAAAAAAAAAAAAAATGGTGGTCATTGCTTTGGGCATGAAATATTTTAAAAATATTTGCAAAGGATGGTATGGCAACCTGTAGCAAGCATTATCAGATATTTCACATTCAGGAACCATTTTAGGAATAACACAGGAGAAAAAATACGTATATGGTGAGGTAGGTAGAAAATATACACAAACAGGCCGGGCACGGTGGCTCAAGCCTGTAATCCCAGCACTTTGGGAGGCCGAGACGGGCGGATCACGAGGTCAGGAGATCGAGACCATCCTGGCTAACACAGTGAAACCCCGTCTCTACTAAAAATACAAAAACTTAGCCGGGTGAGGTGGCAGGCGCCTGTAGTCCCAGCTACTCGGGAGGCTGAGGCAGGAGAATGGCATGAACCCGGGAGGCGCAGCTTGCAGTGAGCTGAGATCCGGCCACTGCACTCCAGCCTGGGTGACAGAGTGAGACTCCGTCTCAAAAAAAAAAAAAAAAAAAAAGAAAATATACACAAAGATATTCATGAAAAGCTTATAACAAGGGAGAATTGAGAATAACACATGACCCACCACAGCAAACAGCTAAGCCGTAGGTCACGTGAACTCTCCTGGGATGTGGATGACTCTTGTAGAATAAAACTCCCTGAGGAAAGCACAGCAAGTTTACCTCCTCTCATCATAGCCATGGAGTATCTGAGTCCAATCTAGACTCTAGTAGTGAAAACAGAGGAGTTGGCATAGAAGTTTGGAATTTAATCTTCATTTGATTTTGTTCTTCTTACATCCAGCTTTTTTTGGAGACAGGGACTCACTCTGTTGCCCAGGCTGGATTGCAGTGGTCCATTCTCAGTTCACTGCTGCAGCCTCGATCTCCTGGGCTCAAGCCATCCTCCCATCCCCATCCCTATGACTAATTTTTGTATTTTTTGTAGAGACGGGTTTTTACCGCACTGCCCAGGCTGGTCTCGAATCCCTGGGCTCAGGCGATCCACCTGTCTTTGCCTCCCCAAATGCTGAGATTACAGGTGTGAGTCACCATGCCCGGCCCCTTTACATCTCTTTAAATGAAGGACAATGCGCGGGATGTGTGTGAAGTAGAACCTAATATTCCACAACCCAAGATTTTCCCATACAAACCAAGACTGAATAATCTGACACTTGGAATACATGCCAAATGTTTTTCCATACAGTAGTCCCATCTGCTTCATGAAATGCAGCCGGGAAATGGGATTCCACAGTGATTGAGTGACAAATGCAAATGACCAGATTTTCTAAATTTTTTATTCATGAGGCCCAGTCAATTCTCTTAAGAATCATGGCCAGGAGGTCGGGCACGGTGGCTCAAGCCTGTAATCCCAGCACTTTGGGAGGCCGAGATGGGCGGATCACGAGGTCAGGAGATCGAGACCAGCCTGGCTAACATGGTGAAACCCCCATCTCTACTAAAAATACAAGAAAATTAACCTGGTGTGGCATGCGCCTGTAATCCCAGCTACTCAGGAGGCTGAGGCAGGAGGATCACTTGAACCTGGGAGGTGGAGGTTGCGGTGAGCTGAGATAGTGCCACTGCACTGCAGCCTGGGTGACAAAGCAAGATCCCGTCTCAAAAAAAAAAATCATAGTTCATTAATCCAGGTACACAAATACTTCTATCCCAATCCAGTCTGCTTATGTTTCTCTAGACTTCCCATGTCCTCAAGACAAAAGCAGAGAGAACCAGGGGACATGTCCTTGCCATGGGGTTCTGAGGGAAAATGAGGGCCAAATCTTCTGTTCAGGAGCACTTGAGAGTACCATTCACCAGGGATGGATTATGCAACGACCCTGTACTTCCTCCTCTGAAATCCATGGTGTGTCATCAGTACATTTCTTCAGCGGATTTACTAATATGTTCGTTCCTAACTTAGCTCTGCTATAATCGGGTAGGCTCCATGGGCACAGTAACTATTTTGTTATTCGTTGCATTTCCTGTAGCGGCTGGCACCCAGGCGGCATTCCGTGACTGCTGAGTATGTGAATGCAAGATACAAAGCCAGAAGCTGGAAGAGAGATGCAGTGTTGGGCATTCAGTCAGGCCCCTGACCACCCACTGGACAGATAGTCAGAGGAGCTGTGTTCTTCCCTCCATCATGTGTCCCAGGGCTGAAGATAGGTTGAAGGGGCTCAGAGAAACAGCAGCCGGTGAATGTATAGATGCAGGATCTGGCTGTCACGTTGTAAAAGGAAATGCTTCCAACTCTGTAGTTCACAAAGATGCCCACACGCTTGGGAGGCACCTTTATTAGCAGGCGGGTTGGGGGAACACTGGATGCCTGGTACTTATTTTCCTTCATCATTATCACCACCCAGTAGCCATTCTCTGGTGACAGAGTCATGTTCCCTTTCCTGCTTATGGATGCCTTGCAGGCTCCCAGGATCCACGCCGTCTTGTCTCCGACCTCCACCTCCCAGTAATGGTGGCCAGAGAGGAAGCTCGGAGAGCCCAGAACAACGATGCAGCTGTCAAATCTGTGCGGGCCATCAGGCAGCCTCTCCCGCTTGTTTCCAAGTCTAACACTCTTCAGATCATCAGAGACGATGAGGTTGGGGTAAGCGGTTTCTGCATCCAGAATCACATTAACTGCAAAGAAAATTTGAATACCTAGCTAGGGGTCCGTGGGCAACATCCCTACAGGGTTATCCCCACCTGCAGGAAACAGGGACAGGGCAGTTATTCTCGAACGTGATAGGGGAGAGCACAGGGATCCAGCAGGCCAGGGCCACTTGCCTTGATCTGGGCACTTACCGGCATGTGCCTGAGCACCAATCAGCTCTGGAACTACAGAGAAAAATGAGATAGGGAAAAAAGTCCTGAGCGTTTGTATTCAGAGGGGCTAAATTACAATGTCCCGACAACAAGGAAACACAAGGAACCCCCTGCTTAGGGCCCTGCATGCTATGTTGGGTATAATCCCGTTCCTCCCAGGAACCCAGGTCATGTTGGGGACTGTGGTCTAATGAGTCAACTCAGCCAGTGAGTCATGCAGTCATGCACAGAGTCTGCGGGGCCTGCCATGACCTTTCTCCTGCCTTTGCTCTAGGTGTTTTTGGGTTTTTTTGTCTTCTAAATAGGGCCCCTCAAGTCAACAGCACAAGGAAACACTGCAGCAATCCCAGGCCAGCACACACCATTACCGCTGGACTCACCATTGAACATTTCCATTTCTGAACTCAGGGTTTCTAAAATGTGGGAAAGGGAACAGAGAGAAGCTGGAGTTAGGTCCCTCAGCCAGGGACAGATGGAAGAGAGGTCGAAGGCAGGTCAGCAAGACCAGGGGAGGAGGAGGAGGGAAGTGAGGGGCTCTGGGCTATGTGAATCTTAGGGAGGAAGCAAGCGTGCACCTCCAATCCTCTCCCAAGCCCATCTACCTAAGAAGTATTTTGCGCTCTTCTCCACAAACTCTAACTTCTGGAGGAGCAGTTGGATCTTCTGTTCCATCTCTTGAGGAGTAGTCCACCGTTCAGGGAGAGGCACTGTCTTAGCCCTAGAGACAAAAGACTGTTGGCCAGAGAGGGCTAGAACGAGGGGATGGCCCAAGTACCCGTGAGCTGGAAATAATCTACATTCTCCACAGGGCACACCTAGCCCAGCCTGAGCTACACAAAGAAAAGTCTTTCCTGGATTCAGAGGTCTAAATGCTGGTCCTCAACTTTGGCCACAGATTGTCATGTACTGGGGCGCTTTAAAGACATGGATATCAAAACCACAAGGAGTTTTCAAAATGGACTTAAAATGACATTGATATTAGCCGGGCGCGGTGGCTCACGCCTGTAATCCCAGCACTTTGGGAGGCCGAGGCGGGCGGATCACAAGGTCAGGAGATCGAGACCATGGTGAAACCCCGTCTCTACTAAAAATACAAAAAATGAGCTGGGCGCGGTGGCGGGCGCCTGTAGTTCCAGCTATTCGGGAGGCTGAGGCAGGAGAATGGCGTGAACCCAGGAGGCGGAGCTTGCAGTGAGCCAGGATCGCGCCACTGCACTCCAGCTTGGGCGACAGAGCGAGACTCCGTCTCAAAAAAAAAAAAAAAAAAAAATGACATTGATATTATCTATCAGAATTATCTATGTCAAATTGATTATACATCCCTTTCTTTCTTTCTATTGAAATAAAAATGGTAGTTAATGAAAAAAAAAAAAAACAGAATAAAATACCCCTTCACATCCATTAGGATGGCTATTATAAAAACAGCAACAACAGGAGAAAATAGGCCAGGTATGGTGGCTCATGCCTGTAATCCTAGCACTTCAGGAGGCCAAGGCAGCTGGATTGCTTGAGCCCAGGAGTTCAAGTCCAGCCTGGGCAACATGGCAAAACCCTGTCTCTATTAAAAATACAAAAAAGTAGCTGGAAGTGGTAGCACATGCCTGTAGTCCCAGCTACTCAGGAGGCTGAGGTAGGAGAATCACCTGAGCCCAGGAGTTGAGCCTGCAGTGAGCCGTGACTGTGCCACTGCTCTCCAGCTTGAGTGATGGGAATGAGACCTTGTCTCAGGAAGAAAAGAGAGAGAGAGAGAGAGAGAGAGAAATGGCTGGGTGCAGTGGCTCACATCTGTAATCCCAGCGCTTTGGGAGGCCAAGGTGGGTGGATCACTTGAGGTCAGGAGTTTGAGAACAGCCTGGCTGACATGGTGAAACCCTGTCTCTACCAAAAAAATTAGCTGGGCATGGTGGCATGCTCCTGTAGTCCCAGCTACTAGGGAGGCTGAGGTGGATGAACCCCTTGAACCTGGGAGGCAGAGGTTGTAGTGAGCCAAAGATGACGCCACTGCACTCCAACCTGGATGACGGAGCAAGACTCTGTCTCCAAAAAAAAGAAAAAGAGAGAAAGAGAGAGAAACAAGAAAATAAGTGATGGCAAAGATGTGGAGAAACTGGAGCCCTTGTGAACTGCTGGTGGGAATGGGAAGCAGTGCAGCCCCTGTGGGAATCAGGATGGTGGTTCCTCAAAAAAAATTAAACACAGAATGACCACATGGTCCCGCCGTTCCACTTCTGGGTATGTACCCAAAATAACTGAAAGCAGGGTCTCAAATAGATATTTGTATGCCCATGTTCATAGCAACATTATTCACAAACCAAAAGTTAGAAAAAATCCCAATGTCCATGAATGGATAAACGAAATGTAGTATGAACACACAATTGACTACTATTCAGCCATAAAAAGAAAATAAATTCTGATACACGTTACAACATGGATGAAGCCTGAAGACATTATGCTAAGTGAAGAAGCCAGACACAAAAGGACACTGGGATTTTGTAAAGCTCCCAGGTGATTTTAAGGCTTAGCCTCTTCCTGTCCCTTCCCTCCCCTTCCTGCTGGGCTCAACCCAGCTTCACTCCAAACAAGCTTCCCAAGGCCACCAGTAGGCCTGAAGGGGCAGTTTTCATAAGGTGAATTGCACGGGACACAATGCACTCGGAAAGTTTCTTAGGGAGCCTCCATCTTAGGATGGGCTGAATTCTTCACCCTTCCCATTCTGCAGCTCCACACCTGGTCAGCCTCCCTGCTGACCAGATCCCCTTCTCCCTAAGCAAATCCAGAGGCTTTGGGAACCTGCAGAAAAAGGGAGGAGTCTGGAATCACAGACCCCAGTGTTGGGAACATCTCCCTCCCAGGTCCCTTCTGGGACTGTCTCCCCCAAAATGCTTCCTGCAAGACACCCCAGGGTACACCATAGGACCTTGCTGTACCTGTGCAAGATGTCTCCGATGTCCTAGGAGAGAAAAGAAGGAAACTGTCCATTATCAGGCTCCCAGAGGCTGTGCTGATACCTGGCCTCTACTCCTGGGCTCCTGGACTTTTAGCTCCCCCCTGCACTTACCAGGGCTCCCTGCCCTAGGGTGTCAGGGGAAGTGGAGCACCTTTCTTCAATTCTAATTCTAACCACAGGGATTCAGGCATCCCAGGTGGCGAGGCCTGCAATGGAACGACCCTCAAGCCCTGCTGATCCCTTCTGGGAAATGACAGGGATCCCCTGGATGCTGGGCCACCCTGGGCTCCTGAGAGACTTCGTCAAAGGGGTCTGGGCACAAGAGGCATTGTGGGTCACCAAGACCAAGTCCTATCCTAGGCCTTAGGGGCTTTACCCACTGGTGCCCGCACAGTTGATGGCAGAGCTGAGAGTCTGAGGCATCCTGATGGGCACAGGGGACCCAAGAAAGCCAGGCCCAGGCACACCCACCTGCAGAAGGTCCCATTCCGACTGGCACTGCTTGGTCTCCAGTTCCCCAATCAGCGCGTCGAGCAGGGCGATGTCCTGGGATATGCGGGTGTCGTATGTCTTCCTGATCTGCCCGACCATCTGGCCCACGTTCTCCAGCGAGGCCATAAAGACATACTCTTGCTGCTCCAGAAAGTGGTACACCTGCTGCAGCTTCCTCTGCATCCGCTGCTTCAGCGCTTCAGTCTGTTTCTGGGGAGCAGAGGACAGGGAGGTATGGGGGTCTGTGCTTTGAGTGGACATGTATGTCCAGGAACCCCCGGAGGCTCACCTCCTGGAGGTGGATAAAAGGTGGGCTTATGCTGCCTCTTCGAGGCCTAGATTCCACAGCAGGAGGCAATATTGTCTGGAACCTTCCAGAACAGACTGAGCATGGCTGGGGCTAGCTCTGGGAAAATGTCCTCAAACCTGGTGTTAAGGTTTAACTGTGTCCCCTCCAAAATTTACATGTTGAAGCCCTAACCCCCAGTACTCAGAATGTGATCTTATCTTGCAGATGTAATTAGTTAAGATGTGGTCCTACTGGAGTTGGGTGGGTCCCTAATCCAATATAAATGTTGTTTCATAAAATGGGGAAATTCAGGCTGGGTGCAATGGCTCATGTCTGTAATCCCAGCATTTTGGGAGGCTGAGGCAGGTGGATCACCTGAGGTCAGGAGTCTCAGGCTGCTCTCACCAGCCTGGCCAACATGGGGAAACCCTGTCTCTACTAAAAATACAAAAATTAGCCAGGCACGGTGACAAGCGCCTGTAATTCCAGCCACTCAGGAGGCTGAGGCAGGAGAATTGCTTGAACCTGGGAAGTGGAGGTTGGAGCGAGCCAAGATTGTGCCACTGTACTCCAGCCTGGGCAACAGAGTGAGACTCCACCTTGGGGAAAAAAAAAAACAGAAGAGAATTTTAAAGTTAAAAGTGTTCTTGGCCGGTCGCGATGGCTCATGTCTGTAATCCCAGTACTTTGGGAGGCCAAGGTGGGCGGATTATGAGGTCAGGAGTTCGAGAACAGCCTGACCAACATGGTGAAACCCCATCTCTACTAAAATTACAAAAAATAGCCGGGCATAGTGGTGGGTGCCTGTAGTCCCAGCTACTCAGCAGACTGAAGCAGGAGAATCGCTTAAACCCGGGAGGCAGAGGTGCAGTGAGCCAAGATCATGCCACTGCACCTGGGTGACAGAGCGAGACTCCGTCTCAAAAAAAATAAAAAATAAAAAAAATAAAAATTGCAGCGTTCTCCTCCCCTTTCCTCAATCCCATCTTTCTGCGACAGTCACCGGCATAGGTTGTTGTATACTATCTTCTGCTGAGTATGAGAAAGCATGACAGGATCCTCAGAGGTGACCTCTGCCTGCTGGGGGTGGTCTCCCTCTACAGGGATGAGTTCACCCTTGGCTGCTGGTTACCCCTCTGCACCCTGAGAGGAGGTGGCCATCCCTGCTGCCCTTTGAACCACAGCAGAATCTCAGGGACCCCTGCTCACTCTTCTCACCCTCCTCCCAGGGAAGGATGGGCCACCAGCCACGACTGTCCTTACCAGAAAGTTCACTGCCTTGCCCTCCCCATAGGATCGCTGCTCCTCCCCTGATTTTCTCAGCTCCTTCAGATGCTCCAGCTGCTTCTGAATTTGCTTCTGGAAAAATAGCACTTGTTGAAAAGCTTGAATGTGGCTCCTGCCATCTTTAGCTGGTGCCAACTCTGGAGGGGAACATCTTCTGGTAGCAAGGCTGAGGGTGCTGCTGCCAGCAGCATGAGAGGGGTGCTCAGAAAAGAGGAGGGAGGAATGGCTGCATTGCCAAAGGCAGCAGAGCTGAGAGGCACTTCCTCTGGGCTTCTGGATTTAGCCATACCTGAAACTAGCTCCCCCTGGATCTCTGAGCAACATAAACCTGTAACTCCCCTCTTTGCTGGACTGGTTTATATTGTGTTCTTGCCATTTCCAGCCCAGGAATGCTGGCTAATGCACCAACATCCCAGAGTTGTTGGGAAAATGAAGCAAGGCCCAGTGTGTCCAAGTGCCTGGCAGAGAAGGGCCCACAGGCAGGGAGTGCCTACCTTGTGTTCCAGGGCAGCCTCCTCAATGGGGCGTACCCGGTGGCCTCGATGCTCCTGACTCAGACTGCAGATGAGGCAGATGGGCTCACGGTGATCCTCGCAAAATAGCAGCTGGACCTGCTTCATGTGGCGCTTACACTGTGGAAGGGGCTGGGGGCTTAGACTTCCCATGCTCTTCCTTTCATGGGAGGCCTGGCACCGGGGGCAGTCAGGTGAGCGGCTGCCTGAGGCCTGGGGGTGCCCAGAAGCTGCCTCAGGGCAGCTGCAGGAATCACGCACACAGATATCGCCAACAGGGTCTCCTTCCTGGGCGTGGCAACGGGGACTCGCAGCCTTGTCTGGTGGCCTTCCTGGGGACATGCAGTGGAAAAATCCCCAGAATGGCAAACCCAAGTTGTTTACCCAGAGGTATCACAAAACACAGCAGAAACAGCCCTTGCCTGAGACGTGTGAGTTCTTGGTTAGACTGCCCACTTCCTAGCTTGTCCTCCTCCGACCTCCATCCAGTGAGGCAGCAAACAGGCCACTGGGCCTGAGAGCTAAGGGCTAGACCTCAGACATTCCTGAGACTTAGAATTCTTGCGCATTTATCCTAAAGACAGACCCATGGCCTTGTGCTATTCCTCCTGCACAGACATGGATCTAGCAGGTGATGCCAAGGAAAGAGACATTCTGACCAGTGTTCCTTTGCCACTTGAACCTGTCCCTGGCTGCCCATAACGTGAGTGGAGGCTCCCAGGGGATGGTGACTCGCTCCCAGTTGGATCCCAGCCCCTAGCAGAGTACCCGGCAAATGGTAAGCATTTGGAAAACTACTGTTGAATGAAGGAATAAATAGACCACTGCTCACATCTGAGTTCAAATAACCATTCAATAAAAGCAAAGAAGGGGCTGCGTGGTGGCTCATGCCTATAATCCTAGGGCTGTGGGAGGCCAAGGTGGGAGGATTGCTTAAGCTCAGGAGTTTGAGACCAGCCTGGGCAACATGGCAAGAGCCCATCTCTACAAAAAATTTAAAAATTAGCCAGGCGTGGTAGTGGGCACCTGTAATCACAGCTACTTGGGAGGCTGAGGCAGGAGAATTGCTTGAACCTGGGAGACGGAGTCTGCAGTGAGCCGAGATCACACCACTGCTCTCCAGTCTGGGTGACCAAGTGAGACTCCATCTCAAAAAAAAAAAAAGAAATAGAAACACACTCAATCCTTTAGCCCCTCCTCCCTCCTTACCTCACAGTGTCCCAGAAATTCATAGCACATCTGTAAATGAGACTGCTAGTAGCCACCAGAAATTATTCTTCCTCCTTCTCTCGTGATAGAATTAATTGTCCACAGGACTGCTTCCCTTCTTCCCATTGCCCCCCAAATGCCCTGCATTTCTCAGCCTCCTTTGCAGTTAGGTGTGGCTATTTGACCACAATATGGCCAAAGGGATGTAAATGGAGGGGGTCACAAGCAGCTTCTAGATATTTCTAGAGCCGGCCGGGCGCGGTGGCTCAAGCCTGTAATCCCAGCACTTTGGGAGGCCGAGACGGGCGGATCACGAGGTCAGGAGATCGAGACCATCCTGGCTAACACGGTGAAACCCCGTCTCTACTAAAAATACAAAAACATTAGCCGGGCGTGGTGGCGGCGCCTGTAGTCCCAGCTACTTGGGAGGCTGAGGCAGGAGAATGGCGGGAACCCGGGAGGCGGAGCTTGCAGTGAGCCGAGATCGCGCCACTGCACTCCAGCCTGGGCGACAGAGCGAGACTCTGCCTCAAAAAAAAAAAAAAAAAAGAAATTTCTAGAGCCTTCCCTAAGGGATACTATTCCCCTCTGTTCCTCCGTCTTGCTGCCTGGCATGAGGACGTCACCTTCTGAGAGCACGAGCTTGAGGACAAACTTGGTGGAGCAGAGCAACAGCAGGACCCCAGGATCCTGGCCCACGCATCTGCCTGGGACTGCCTGTGTATCATTTATGTGAAGGAGGCACAAACTTCTTTTCTGTTGAGGTTACTGTTATTTGGGTGTTTCTATTATTCACAACCAAACATAATTTTAATGACTACCTCAGCAGTAGATAATTTAGGACTAGGCCATAGGCTCCTTCTGCTCAAGGTGATTATAAGGCTAATGGTAGTATCGCTCTAACCCTATTGAATGATATTATCATGCTGTTGAGGTTATTGGTGAACTCAGTTTTTAGTACGGAATTTTTCCTCCGATTTTCTTACCTTGGTGTCCACAATAACCCCTTTGGATTAAAAGTGGACTGTCAGAAAGTTCAAGAATTTATCCTGATAAGTTGATGTGGACATTTGTGAAGCTGTGCATATATGCCTTTTTCAGGGTCCTACAGCCTGCACCGAATTATCAAAAGTGGCCCCAGGAGGCGGCCAGAATCCCAATTTATTTGATAAGATACAGGTGGGGATGTCGGTTGCAGTGGCTCGCAACCTGTATATCCGAGCGTTGGGAGCAAAGATGGGAGATTGGTTTGAGCTCAGGAGTTCAGACCAGTCTGGGGAAATAGTGAGAACCCTATCTAAAAAATTATATATATAATGAAATGTAAAAAACATGGGAAGTAAAGGAAAACCAAATTTAGGGAAGTACTTTAGTACTTTTCAGGTCACTAGTCCTAAGGATGTAGGTTTTCAGAGTCCGCCAGGGTCCTCTCTGCACCAGAACCCAACTTTCTTGGATTTGGAAGATTACGCAGTATTTACCACGTCCTGTTCCCTCCAGGTCTCAGGGGTCCCTGGCCCCCCAACTTTTTTTTTTTGTCTCTGTTATGAGTCCTAGATGTTGGCTGCGTGGGTCTGATTGTGACGCGCGCGCTGCGACGGTCCAGGGTTGGTAAGGCGATAGGAAAGTGGCTGTATACTCTCGGCTCGATGTCAAACCTCTGCCTGCTTCATTGTGACGCGGCAATGTGGCGGGTTCTGCAATTCTATCTCGCTCAGAAATCACTAAGAATGTATAGCATTGTGATATGAACTCCTGTGCCCTCACGCGCCTAACAAAGATAAAGTGGCAAATATAAGTATAAGATGGATTTTCATGCACTCTGTTGGCAGCGGTCTTGAACTCATGACCTCAGGTATCTGCCCCCATTGGACATCCAAAGTGCTTTAGTAATTTGACATGCTACACCACTCCCTGGACAACAATACACACTCAGTCTTTTCCTCTTTGAATGCTGTGATTTCTCCGTATTCAGCACATATGTATTAGGAAAGTGTGTCTCCATAGGTCTGTGATAATTGTGCTCAGCACCTATCATTTCTTAGAGCTAATGGCAGGTTGATTGCTTGAGCCCAAGGAGTCTCAAACCAGACCTGGGCAACATAGCGGAGTCCTCCTTTCTACAAAAGAAAAAAAAACAGTGTGGGTGGTGAGCACTATAGGTCCCAGCTACTCGGGTAAGGCTGAGGTGGCGAAGGACGCTTGACCCAGAAGGTTGAGAGTGAGTAAGCGTGGATCACACTACTGGCACTCCCGCGATGGGAGGACAGACGGAGAACTCTGTTGTCAAAAAAGTAGTAATAAAAGAAATGTGTGTTGTTTCTGTGTCTGTTCCTCTTGTTATATGATGTGCGCTCAAATTCCCCTCATAACTGGTGCTACTGTGTGTGCTCTCATAGGAGCTGACTGTTAATATGTATGTATGAGTGGTGTGGTGGTGTGTCATGGTGCATACCATTACGATCGTGTGTATGTTGTGCTTCTGACAGTAATTGTATACTGTGTGTGTGTGTAATTGTTGTTGTATCCAGTTAGGTTAGTTGTTGACTTGTTCTGTGTTGCTGGTATATTGTGTGTTGTTACACATCTTATAAGTAAAACCCCCGCCCAAATGTGTGTGTAGGTGGTGTTATATACTGTTCATGTGTTAATGTGGTGTGTGTTCCGTAATGTGTATTATTTGTTGTGTTATATTCATGGTATGGACACTGCCACAGGACTGCTTACCTACCCTCCTTCCCTCCTCGCGGACGCTCTAAAATCCCCCTGGCTCATCCCATCCTGGGCAAGCAGATGCTGCAGAGGCGAGCTCCCCTTCTCTATTCTTTGGCCACTGAATAAAACCTGACTGCCTTTTTCAATTGGACGTTCTTTCTTTCTTTTTTTACCCCCCCCAAAATGTTTAAGAGACAGGGTCTTGCTGTGTTGCCCAGGCTGGAGTGCAGTGGCACAACCTCAGCTCACTGAGGCCTGGAACTCCCTGGCTCAAGCAATCATCCTGCCTCAGCTTCTCGAGCAGCTAGAATTACAGGCGTGTGCCACCACACCCAGCTAATTTTTTTTTTTGGTTTTGTAGAAGTGGAATCTCGCTACGTTGCTCAGGCTGGAGTGCACTGGCATGATCTCAGCTCACTGTAGCCTGGAACTCCCCCTGCTCAAGTGAGCCCGAGCAGCTGGGACTACAGGCATGTGCTACTATTGTATTTTTTGTAGAGATGGGGTCTCACTGTGTTGCCTAGGCTAGTATGGAACTCCTGGGGTCAAGAGATCCTCCCGTGCAGGCCTCTCAAAGCTCTGGGATTACAGGCGTGAGCTATGGCGCCCTGTCTAACCTTTGGGTTTTTATTTTTTAAATTTTATTTATAGACATGGCGGGGGTCTCACTATGTTCACCAGACTGGTCTCAAACTCTTGGCCTCAGGAATCCTCCAGCCCTGGCCTCCCAAAGTGCCGGGATTACAGGCGTGAGCTATCGTGCCCGGCCAGCTGTTCTTTCTTTGCAGCCGATATAAAGTAGGAAAAAACACAATTTACCGGTGACCGAATGTTCTGGATTCCCAGGGCCTTTCTCCAGGTCCGCAGTCGCCCCTCCATCCGGAGTGGGCCTTGCCTGAGCGCCTGTTGCCGAGTCCGGATTCGCAGCTGTCGTTTCCTCTACAGTCAGGAGAGTTTCTGGATTTGGGGGCGCCTTCTGCCCTGTGGAAATGGTGAGCTCAAGGCTTTTAGGCCGCTTCTTTCCCGAGGGCTGCTCCACTTCGAAGGGCCTGCACTCCTTCCACCCCAGCGCGCCCGAGGAGCTGGCGTTCTTGCGCGGGGGGCGCTCGGCCGCCTTGCAGGGGCTGGGGCCGGGGCTTCTCCCTCCGGTGGGAGGCTTGCCCTGCGCGTCCGGGCTCTCCGAGGCCTTCTCTCTGCGTTTGCTCGAGGGCTTCCTTGACAGCCCCGTCCCGGCCTCGGGCTGGCTGTGCCGCAGGCTGGCAGCGCAGTCCCCGCACGACCGAGGGCGCTCCTTTCCCTCCTTCCCCTCCTTCCCCTCCTTCCCCTCCTTCCCCTCCTTCCCCTCCTTTCCCTCCTTCCCCTCGGGGTGGTCTGGAGTCTTCAGGCTCCCGGGCTTGTTCTCCTCCAGGGAGCTGGACGCTGCGGAATCGTCTGTGCCATTTTCTTGTGTGGAATATTCTGGAAAGACAACCAGCTGCAAAGTCATGAAGCTGTCCCGCGTTTAGGGCCCAAGATTCAGGGGAGAGGAGAGAGAATCCCCATGGAAATTAAAGTTTAGAAATGGAGGAAAAAACGGGCCGGGCACGGTAGCTCATGCCTGTATTCCCAGCACTCTGGGAGGTTGAGGCGGGAGGATCACCTGAGGTCAGGAGTTCAAGACCAGCAGGGTGAAACCCTGTCTCTACTAAAAATACAAAAATAAGCTGAGCGTGGTGGTATATGCCTGTAATCCTAGCTTCCCGGGAGGCCAAGTTGGGAGGATCATTTGAGGTCAGGAGTTCGAGACCAGCCTGGCCAACATGGCAAAACCACGTTCCTACTAAAAATACGAAACAGCCAGACGTAGTGGTGTGCACCTGTAGTCCCAGCTACTCTGGAGGCTGAGGCATGAGAATCGCTTGAGCCTGGGATGTGGAGGTTGCAGTGAGCTGAGATTGTGCCACTGCTCTCCAGCCTGAGTGACAAAGTGAGACTCCATCTCAAAAACAAAAGTTCAGGACTTCCTAGACAATGGCAGTCAATTACCATTCAGTAAGAACATGCTTGATGTTGCTATATATTTCTCTCTCTCTTATTTCTTGAGACTGGATCTTGCTCTGTGGCCCTGATGTGATCTCGGCTCACTGCAACCTCTGCCTCCCAGGCTCAAGCGATCCTCTCACATCAGACTGTTTTCTTTTTTTTTCAATAGCTGAGAATATAGGTGTGTGCCACCACGCCTGGCTCATTTTTTTGTATTTTTGGTAGAGACAGGGTTTCACCATGTTGGCCAGGCTGGTCTCGAACTCCTGAGCTCTAGCAATCTACCCACTTTAGCCTCCCAGAGTGCTGAGATGATAAATGTGAGCCACCATGTATTTCTCAAATAGTACTTTTCAAACGTTGTAAGCAGGACAACTGTTTCAAATAAGATCTTACACAGGTCAGCAAAACCCAGATTATACGTTTCAAAAATAAAAATAAGCCAGGCACGGTGGTCTATGCCTGAAATCCCAGCACTTTGGGAGGCTGAGGCGGGAGGATCACTTGAGGTCAGGAGTTTGAGACCAGCCTGGCCAAAATGGTGAACAGCACTAAGATTCTATACCAACCCCGTTCATATGATTGCATAGCAATCCCTTTTTGCTAACCTAGAGATGTTTGTCTGACATGAGTATTAATCATAAATGAAGTGAAGAAGTCTCAAAGAACAGGTGCTCCAGCTCCTGCCTTTTCTGACCCTGACCTGCTTCTTTAAAACCCATTGGGAGCCTTAAGGAAGTTTACTAACCCAGTGCCAAAAGCCAGAGTGAAGGAAGGGACGTTCCTGAACTAAAGTCACCTGGATCTTGGTAGACCTGAGACTCCCGACCCCCAAGTCAGAGTGAGCTGCTCTGAGCTCCTGGTCCCTTTTCCCACAAAGCAACCAGCCCTCAGCGCTGGGTGAGGAGGCAGCCTGGGCCCGCTTACCCTGAACGGCTGCCCTGTGGAGCTCCTCAGCCAGCAGGCGCTGGTTGATGGCCCGCAGGACCTGCAGGGTCAGCCGCACAGCGTACTCTTCCCCGTAGTAGGTGACCAGCAGACTGGCCATCTTCACTGGCTTGGCTCTCTGGATCTGACTCCGGGGGATCCTGGAGTGCTCCTTCTCCACACTGGTGTTCTGCAGCTTGAACTTGAACTTGTCAAAGTCATAGGGCACCAGCTCCTCCAGGGTGGACAGCAGATGGTCACTAGGGGTCTTGGCCATGGCGCTGAACAGGAGAGGCTGGAGCCAGCTGTCTGGCTTCTGGCAGGAGAAGAAGCCTCTACCTTGGTGAGCAAGAACAGGCAGGTTGTGAAATAGCGGAAAAGGCACAGGAAATGCTCTGTGTCTTGGTGGGAACTGAGACTAAGGGTAAGGGTGTGTCCATGCTGGCTATGTTCTCTTCTCACAGGTTCAGAGGATTTTCCAGCTGGGAGGGCTCAGTGCCTTGGCAGACATGTGTCCCCACACCCCTCCCAAACCCTGGACCTCATCTCCACACTAGACCACAGTAGGTGGGCAAGCCTGCAAGGGAAGGTCTGGGATTGGATTCCAGACAACCCCTCCAATCTCCCTTCCTGCCAGGATCTGGGGCTGGCAGAGCGGGTCAATGGGAACAGAGAGGACTATGCTGAGGGCCAGCCCTGCTGGTCAGCTGTTCTCCCCCAGACTCGGCGTTTCACAGACCCTCCAGAGCCAATGGCATGGGATGGGGGAAGGGGTGGGCAGTGAATACAGCCCCGTGAGCTTTGCCTTTCCTGGCCCAAGAAGGCAAGTGAGGCCAGAAGGGCACTGCCGGGGGATAACTCTTGCCACTCTTGTGGTTCTTCCAGCCACATGAAGGGCTTGAAAAGCAATGCCTCAACCACCAGCCTGACTCATCTGTTCCCAGAGCTGACTCAGTTCTCGCTCCCTGGAGCCAGAATGCCCTTCCGTGCACATTCACTGAACATTCTAGACAGTGTGCCAGGATGCTGGAGCTACAGGGGTGAAAAGGCACGGGTGTCCTTCAGCTCATAGTCTGGTGCAGGGCCCCAGAGGTGGCTTTGAAGCTAACAGAAGTTACATGTCGGGGGCTGGGCGTGGTGGCTCACGCCTGTAATCCCAGCACTTTGGGAGGCCAAGGTGAGTGGATCACCTCAGGTTGGGAGTTCAAGACCAGCCTGGCCAACATGGTAAAACCCCATCTCTAGTAAAAATACAAAAATTAGCCAGGCATGGTGGCACGCGCCTGTATTCCCAGCTACTCGGGAGGCTGAGGCAGGAGAATCGCTTAAACGCGGGAGGCGGATGTTGCAGTGAGCCGAGATTGTGCCATTGTACTCCAGCCTGGGTGACAGAGCGGGACTTTGTCTCAAAAAATAAATAAATAAATAAAAAATTACTTGCATACCCTAATTTTTAAAATTTTTGTTTTTAGATAGGGTCTTGCTCAGTCACTCAGGCTGCAGTGCAGTGGCCGGATCTTGGCTCAATGCAACTTCTGCCTCCTGGGCTTGAGCAACCCTCCAACCTCAGCCTTCCAAGTCGCTGGGACTACAGCTGCATGCCACCACATCCGGGTAATTTTTGTATTTTTTTATAGAGACAGGGTCTCACTATGTTGCACAGGCTGGTCTTGAACTCCTGAGCTCAAGCGATCCACTCGCTTTGGCCTCCCAAAGTGCTGGGATTACAGGTGTGTAATCCCTGTAATCTGGCCACTGTGCCTGTCCAGAAGTTTTGTTAATAGTGCAATTTACCCTTCACCAGCACTTCCTCTGCACCAGCCACCACTTGCTTTATAAACACTACCTCCTAGAATCTCTAGGACTGTACCCTGCAGGACTGCATTTATCATCCTCCTCTGCAGCCAAGAATCTGTAGCTTAGTGACTTGCCCAGAGCCAGGATCCCAACATCAAACCACTTCACAACATCGTCTCCTGCATGACAATAATTTGTGATTTTACTATTCATGACTACCCATGGATGTCACATTTCCAGCTGACCACTGAGGTCCAGGATGGGTCACTTCCACAGGTCAGTCACAACATTGTGATGCCTAGCTGAACACTCATCTCTGGGTGTGAGCGCCTCTGTGTATGCCCAGCCAGGTGTTCAAGGCTTTGATGAGTTCTGATTGGTTGAATTTTACTGTCCAGCTGGTCCACCTGTTTTCTGTTTCACAGAGTATTTGGTGCTTTTGCTTTATTTTCATAGCTGACAACAAACATGCAGTTCACTAGATCTTTCTGAGCCCAACATCTTCCCTAAAAAGTGGGTGAATTGGGCTGGGTGTAGTGGCTCACACCTGCAATCCCAGCCCTTGGGAGGCTGAGACAGGAGGATTACTTAAGCCCAGGAGTTTGACATTAGCCTGGGCAACATAAGGAGACCCTGCCTTTACAAGAAATAGAAAAATTATTAGCTGGGTGTGGTGGCACACACTGGTGGTCCCTGCTACTCAGGAGGCTGAGGCAGGAAGATTGCTTGAGCCTAGGTTGAGACTGCAATGAGCTGTGATTGCACCACTGCTCTCCAGCCTGGGTGACAGAGCAAGACACCCTATCTCAAAAAAAAAAAAAAAAAAAAAAAAAAACCATGGGTGAAATGCACATTGATGGTGCAGACGACAGATTTTTGGAATTTTTAGGCTGAGCCAGAAGAAGGGTGTTGACTAGGGTATCACTGGGGCCAGCACCTGTCCCTGATTCTGGACAGTGGCAACCCAGCACCCCCCAGGCAGTCTTCCACAACCAGGTGGAGAAAGGATGAGACTGTGCAGTGATGCGGTGGGTGCTGTGTGATCCCATCTTGACTGGTCAGAAAACTCCTCGGAACTCAGACCAAAACCCCATGACAGAATTGGGCAGGGAACGATACTTTCTGGTCTAAAGCAGGATATTTTGCAATTGTGGTGACACGTTTTGCAACAGAGGCTGTTCTGAGGCAGGACTTCTGGAAGGCAGTGTTTTGACTCCACTTTGGACTTTCTAGGGCAAGGCAGGCTCACAAAGCTTTTGTTTGGAGGGGTTCCAGTAATTTCTCAGAGTGAAAATAGAATTATTGCCCTTGTAATGTCATTTAAGTGTTTAATAATCAAAGTGGAATAGTCACGGGCTCTCTTGTGTGCCCCTGCCATTGGATGTGTGACCTTATTTGGGGGGACATGGCAAATCTAAACCCTACGAAGCTGCTGCAAAGGGTCCACTCTCTGCTGTTATTCCTGGGAAATGTGTGGCTTGGACGCCACGACCTTCACTCCAGTCCTGGTCACCAGGGGTTTCACTTTCTATGGCATTCACTTCTGCACATTTTGGGATTTCAAAAAATGAAGATTTTATTACATTCGTAATAAGCAAAAAAGATAGCTTTAAAAAGTGTTTCAGGCCGGGTGCAGTGGCTCACGCCTGTAATTTCAACACTTTGGGAGGCCGAGGCAGGTGGATCACTTGAAGTTAGGAGTTCAAGACCAGCCTGGCCAACGTGGCAAAACCTCATCTCTAATGAAAATACAAAAATTAGCCAGGCGAGGTGGCATGCACCTGTAATCCCAGGTACTCCGGAGGCTGAGGCAGGAGAATTGCTTGAACCCGGGAGGCGGAGGTTTCAGTGAGCCAAGGTTGTACTACTGAACTCCAGCCTAGGCAACAGAGCATGATTCTGTATTATAAAAAAAAAAAAGTCTTTCAGAATTAGCTTAACTTCTAAGGAAATATGAGTCCTGTACCCCTAAACCATCATGAAAAGGAGGTATATAGTATGTATACATTTATTTATTTATTTATTTTATTTTGAGACGGAGTCTCACTATCACCTGGGCTGGAGTGCAGTGGCAAGATCACGGCTCACCGCAACCTCCGCCTCCTGGGTTCAACTGATTCTCCTGCCTCAGCCTCCCGAGTAGCTGGGATTACAGGCGCCCGCCATTACGCCCGGCAAATTTTTTGTATTTTTAGTAGAGACAGGGTTTCACCATGTTGGCCAGGCTGGTCTTGAACTCCTGACCTTGTGATTCACCTGCCTTAGCCTCCCAAAGTTCTGGGATTACAGGCGTGAGCCACTGTGACCAGCCAACTATTTTTTTTATAGATGACGAAATGCAGGCTTAGAGGTACGGTGACCAACACGTTTTGCTTAGGAGCAAAACCCAATGTGCCCAGTCTTAGCACTGAAAGCCTAGTTCTGGGAACGACCTCAGTCCTGGGAAATTGGGACAATTGCCCACCCTGTATAGATGGGTTACTTGACATACTGAATACATGTCTAGCTAGGAAGAGGCACCACAGGGCCATTAATTTACTCATAGAGCACCTGCTGTATGCCAGATGCTCTTCTAGGTACTATGGATACAGAACTGAACAGGAAAAAATTTCTTGCAGAGCTCACATTCTTTTTTTTCTGATATAAATGCCCTTCAGAAGAAGCCACATTCTTTTTTTTTTTTTTTTGTTTTTTTTTTTGAGATGGAATTTCACTTTGTCGCCCAGGCTAGAGGGCAGTGGCGCAATCTCACCACTGCAACCTCTGCCTCCAGTGTTCCAGCGATCCTCTTGCCTCAGCGTCCCAAGTAGTTGGGATTATAGCCACCCACGACCATGCCTGGATAATTTTTGCATGTTTAGTAGAGACTAAAATGTACCATGTTGGCCAGGCCGGTCTCGAACTCCCAGCCTCAAGTCATCTATCCACTTCAGCCTCCCAAAGTGCTGGGATTACAGGCATCAGCTACTGCACCTAGCCAAGAGCCCACATTCTTACAGGAAAGTGTGAATTGATATAAACAAACAAATACACAATGTATCAGGGAGTGATAAATTGGGGGAAAAAACAGCAGAATAATAGTTTTAGTGAGTACAGGGGATTGGTTTCATATTTTATTTTTTATTTTTATTTATTTATTTTGAGACAGAGGCTCACTCTGTTACCCACACTGGAGTGCAGTGGCACGATCTTGGCTCACTACAACCTCTGCCTCCGAGATTCAAGTGATTCTCCTGTCTCAGCCTCCCAAGTAGTTGGGATTACAGGCGCACACCACCATGCCTGGCTAATTTCTGTATTTTTAGTAAAGATGGGGTTTCACCATGTTGGCCAGGCTGGTCTCGAACTCCTGACCTCAAGTGATCCGCCTACCTTGGCTTCCCAAAGTGCTGGGATTACAGGCTTGAGCCACTGCCCCCGGTTTCACATTTTAATAGGGCACTTGAAGAAGGCTTTTGTGCTTGAACAGAGACCCAAAGGAAGAGGAGTAAGCCAGGTATTCATTTTGAGGATGAGCAGTCTTTGCCTATTTACAGAGTGCAAAAGGGGTAACTTTGTGCTTAGTGTTTGAGGAAGAGTGGTGGCTGGAGCAGAAGCAGGGAGGAGGAGTGGATGGAGGGGTTAGAGAGGGAACTGGGGTCGCCTATCAAGTAGGAGGGCTCCCAGGACACAGCAAGGACTTGGCTCTTACTCTGAGATGAGGGGACACTGGAGAGTTTGAGTAAAGCAGTGACATGATTGGAGTTACGCTTTACAAAAACACCCTGGGCCGGACGCGGTGGCTCACACGTGTGATCCAGCACTTTGGGAAGCTGAGGCAGGTGGATCACCTGA